CAGTGGGGTTCTCGAAATAAATTGTCCTAATTGGAAAAGGGAGTTCAGCATCCTCGGAATCCCTAACGGAGGGATTCTTCCCAGCGATGCGCAAATAATAGCTCGCCCTGATAAGGTCCAACAAAACCTAGAAACATAGAATCTGATGCTGTTATACATTTGTAACATTCTCGAAGGAAGATTCAGCTATTAAGGAGCATATAAAAAGTAACTTACAGTTGAATCCTTTCCTCCATTGAGGCTTAAGGCAACCTCTTCAACACTGTCGATGAAAATATTTAGTACTGAATCTAGTTTTCCGAGGTCAGTTAAAAGATAATGCAAAACTAGCATAAAAAGGAAATTCTCATCCGGGTCTCTTTCTTCAAGACATTTATGACCATATTTTCTTTCGTACATCACCCGAGAGAGAATATTAGCCAATCAAAAAAAAATTATGGTTCTATATGTATCTTAAGAGACAGAAACAGAAAGTTCCCATGACAAACTTTATTGATATGACAAACGAACAAATGTAGGGACCACAAAATCGAATCTGCCGATTTCGGAAAACCTGAAAATATGCGGAATGTGCCACATTTCAGTTCATGGGTAAACCAGTATCCTAAATTCCTAATCTGGATAATTTCCAAAACTTGTTCATATACATATCGTATTTCCACTAGTCCACTTATACGAAAAGCTATCCGAATTTATTAATGTATGAAATACGGATAACAGCCAGTCCCATCCATAAATGAATAAAAAAGATCCGTTCAGAACTTCCCAGAGACAAACACGCAAAAGCATCGACAATAGCTTGAATCTAACAAGCCTTCAGCACAAACATCAATGCCACATGAATTATAATTATTAGATGCCATCATCTAAATTCAAATACATGCATTCCTCTTTGGTTAAACAGATACACACACACACAAGATATTCAGTGAACAGATTGCAATGTTATCGATGAAAGAGAAACGAGGCATACGAGTAGAGGGCGAGAGCCCGTTGGATAACGTAGACGGCGTTGTTGTATTTTGTCTTCAATCTTACATCATCACTTTCATTTATTGCTTTATCGATCTCCATATTTCGATTGTACCAACCTAACCCTGTGAATGCAAACACAAAAAAGGCGTCTGCAGTCAATTCAACAAACACGTAATGGGCGAAATTCAACAAATTGTCTGCGGGAAGAACATTGACATAAGATATGTTTTTTTCCTGAGAATTCAGAGAATGAATGTAAGAAAACTAATATACACCTACATTATCAACAAATTCGATTTTCATTCAAAAATAATAAATAAGAAGCAAAAAAATTAGGGCTTTTACAGTGGAATTGCAACTTCTGGTCAGAAAACCATCGAATGATGAATCTCCGAAAACAAGGTCGGAATCTGTAAAAATGGAAGTGTTAATGATCAGAATGTAAGGAAGATTTTACGCTTGAATTTTCAAGGGTTTACGAATGGGAGTATTATGATTATTTTCCTGCCGTTTATTTCATTGTATTCGGATAAAAATCTTTTTTGAATGCTCCAAAATAGATCTCCTATTAAATGCCAAATAAATTATTTTGATTTATCCATATTCCAAGAAATAAAATAAATAAAAATTAGGGTAAATTCCACTTTACCCCCTCGTACTCTGCCTGAGAGTCACTTTACCCCCTCGTACTCTCAATTTTATCGGTTTACCCCCTTGTACTTGTACAATTTCCCAATACAGCCCTTTCCTTCAAATTTTGTCAATTTTGACTCTAAGGCCATTTGGTCAACTCTGTAAATTACAAAATTGCCACTGCCTATAACGCGTTAACGCGTCGTTTCTCCTCCGTCAATATTGTCATTTCTTCTTCTCCCACCACTTCCCCTTCCAAGATATCCCCAAATTGAACCCCTAACTTAGTAAAAATCAAGACCCAAAAATTGATCGATTCCACCCAGTGCAAAGAAAAAAATATATGAATGTGTGAAACTTTCTCTTTTCTAATCTCGAGAGTCAAAATCGAAAAAATTCAATATTTACGTCAATATTTTGACTCTTGACCAAATGGCGTCAGAGTCAAAATCGAAAAAAGTTGACGAAGAGGGTTGTATTGGGAAATTGTACAAGTACAAGGGGGTAAATCGACGAAATTAAGAGTACGAGGGGGTAAAGTGGTTCTTGGGCAGAGTACAAGGGGGTAAAGTGGAATTTACCCTAAAAATTATGTATTAAATAAACACCGTTAGAGCGATTTGTAAGATATCTCACTAGCCTCACGTGGGATATACATAGACGCAATGTGACGACATTCGGCGCAATGTTAGAAATTAAGTCGGAAAGCATGTAATGCGACATAGGCCGGGGAGGGGCCAATTTACGACATATCAAGAGTGCACAAACGGGGCTCTTTCTAATGAACTCATCCAGATCGCACGGAACATTATAAGTTCGCCCTTAACAGACAAGTGCAACTCGTACTAGTCACACCAGAACCAGGGTCCCCAACCCCAGACGAGTGCCCACCATCCCATCCTTACGATAGGCATAAATACAAGATTGGAGCAAAGAGAAACACAACTCTCTCTCTCTCTCCCTATTGTGGTACTACTCGGGTTTTTCTCACTTCACGCCCAACCCACATCTCCAATTCGCGATAACGCCATTCAGGCTAAATCAGTATTCTATTATCTT